TTCATGAGATGAACTCAAAGATCTAAAACATTTTCTATATACACAAAATAACCATTTCTCTCAAATATTGTTCACGAATCTGAAAAAATCTGTGATAGTGAGCACTTCTCCTTTGCCCAGATAATCCATCCCACCTCACAGGTGTGGCATATCAAGATGCTGATTAGACAGCATGATTATTGCACAGGTGTGCCTTAGGCTGGCCACAATAAAAGGCCACTCTGAAACGTGCAGTTTTGCTTTATTGGGGGGGTCTGGGGGGGTCCGAAAACCAGTCAGTATCTGGTGTGACCACCATTTGCCTCACGCAGTGCAACACATCTCCTTCGCATAGAGTTGATCAGGTTGTTGATTGTGGCCTGTGGAATGTTGGTCCACTCCTCTTCAATGGCTGTGCCAAGTTGCTGGATATTGGCAGGAACTGGAACACGCTGTCGTATACGCCGATCCAGAGCATCCCAAACATGCTCAATGGGTGACATGTCCGGTGAGTATGCTGGCCATGCAAGAACTGGGATGTTTTCAGCCTCCAGGAATTGTGTACAGATCCTTGCAACATGGGGCCGTGCATTATCATGCTGCAACATGAGGTGATGGTCGTGGATGAATGGCACAACAATGGGCCTCAGGATCTCGTCACGGTATCTCTGTGCATTCACAATGCCATCAATAAAATGCACCTGTGTTCGTCGTCCATAACATACGCCTGCCCATACCATAACCACACCACCACCATGGGCCACTCGATTCACAACATTGACATCAGAAAACCGCTCACCCACACAACGCCACACACGCTGTCTGCCATCTGCCCTGAACAGTGAAAACCGGGATTCATCCGTGAAGAGAACACCTCTCCAACGTGCCAGACGCCATCGAATGTGACCATTTGCCCACTCAAGTCGGTTACGAGAACAAACCGGAGTCAGGTCGAGACCCCGATGAGGACGACGAGCATGCAGATGAGCTTCCCTGAGACGGTTTCTGACAGTTTGTGCAGAAATTCTTTGGTTATGCAAACCGATTGTTGCAGCAGCTGTCCGAGTGGCTGGTCTCAGACGATCTTGGAGGTGAACATGCTGGATGTGGAGGTCCTGGGCTGGTGTGGTTACACGTGGTCTGCGGTTGTGAGGCCGGTTGGATGTACTGCCAAATTCTCTGAAACGCCTTTGGAGACGGCTTATGGTAGAGAAATGAACATTCAATTCACGGGCAACAGCTCTGGTGGACATTCCTGCTGTCAGCATGTCAATTGCACGCTCCCTCAAAACTTGCGACATCTGTGGCATTGTGCTGTGTGATAAAACTGAACATTTCAGAGTAGCCTTTTATTGTGGCCAGCCTAAGGCACACCTGTGCAATAATCATGCTGTCTAATCAGCATCTTGATATGCCACACCTGTGAGGTGGGATGGATTATCTCGGCAAAGGAGAAGGGCTCACTATCACAGATTTTTTTCAGATTTGTGAACAATATTTGAGAGAAATGGTTATTTTGTGTATATAGAAAATGTTTTAGATCTTTGAGTTCATCTCATGAAAAATGGGAGCAAAAACAAAAGTGTTGCATTTATATTTTGTTCAGTGTATTTTACGTCATGCGATCGGCTCTCGCAATCGGCATGTTTAGAGAGCACCGATCGATCGGTAGAGAGTGAGTATCGGCCGATCTCGATCGGTGACCGATCGATCGGAGCATCCCTACTGTCAAGGACAGTAGCCCAATGCCATCAGGCCTTCCTGCTGATTAAATTCACAAAAAGTTTGTTAAAGTAAGACTGCATACTTCTCTTTTGCATGTGAAGCAGTCATTTCTAAAATGTTGCCACCAGCACAGCATCTGTTACATAAAGGTTGTATTGTAGAACGAAACTAAACACCTGCATCATGACTTTGGGTGGGCAGGAATTTCTAGTGCAAATGTTTTGTGCTTATCTAATCATCTTTCCATAATCCAGTAGTGTAGGCAGAAATGTACTTTAGGGTGGGCCTGTAAAAAATAGGGTGGGCCAGATTTTTCTTCTGCGCATCAGAAGCTAACAACAATCCCCACCGGTACCGGTGGCAGATTACATTTTGGAATACTTTTGGAATACTTTCTTTTTCCATAACAGATGGGTATGTTTTGGTGAACAGGAGACACGTATTTTACTGTTTTAATGGCTTATCAAGAGCACAAACACAACATCTTGGTGTCATTCTGACAGCTCTCTCATCTGCACCCCACATAAAAAACATCACCTGGACTGCATTCTTTGTACTGTCTTAAAACCTTTCCTTAGAATATGTTATGAATTGTAAGGTGTCCTTGGGTGCTTTGAAAGGCGCTCCTAAATAGAATGAATCATCATTAATATTATTTATTATTATTATTATCTGAAACGATGTAATCACTTTTAAAACTTTTTCCAGTCACTTGCCCTATGCATTCAGCAGCAGCAGGCCATTCACTTTGATTTTATCCCGTTATGAATGTCATAATTTCAACAATAAAGAAATGCTACATAAACGTTATCTTGCACATTTTATCTAACCATCTCCGTTTCTAACTTTCATTATATTTTAAAAGAGATATTTTTTGTATTCTGATTACGTAACACCGTTACATGTATTCCGTTACAACCCAACCCTGTGTATATCTCTCCGGACTGTCCACCAGCAGATGAAAAACACCCACCTCTCCGCCTCTTCCAAGGGACGAGGGAACCGTGTGGCAGAGTTTCCGTTAACATTTTTTTTCTTCTGACAGCCCAGCAGCAGAGGTGGGGAGAGGGAGACGTGGGGAGAGGGAGGCGGGGTTATTTCATCGTTATCAGAAAAATGATCGTATAGATCGCTGCTAGATGAGGGCAGTGGGGGCTCTTCTTGGAGTCTGGCTTTTAAAAAAAGTTATCATTAGTGAACTTTGAGCCATCATTTATTTTGCAGGCAGCTCTCTGCCTCTCTCACGTTATTATGGCGCGCGCCGGAACCAACAATCTGTTTTTACTAGGGCTGTCAAGTTAACGCAAAAAAAAATTAACGCCACTAATTATTTTAACGCGATTAACGCATCTGGATTTTTTTGTCCTCGGCCGCCCCGTAGTTTCAGAGCGCATCGAGTTTAAAATACCATCTACAGGCTGATGCTGACAGCCCCGCTCCTGCCGCCCACTTGTGGCAGACCACACTTCCACGCTCACCGGCAGGCACCGACTGGCCATCGGGAGGACCGGGAGGGTGTGTGTATGTGTGGCCCGAGCGAGCGAGAGAGAGACCTTACGTGCATTGTTGTTGTTAGCATCTGGTGCTAGCTAGCTGCGCTAACGGATATGGAGCTGTTTAAATGAAAACAGAGGAGCGACATTTCGCCACAACTGCGCCGAACACTTGACTTTATGCAGGAAGCCAGACAGTGGGACATTGTACGAAAAGTCAGCACACTCAGCACGGATAGTGCGCAACATGATAGCAGCGTCCAGGCAGCTCCCGTTCGAGCATATGCCTTGAGTTGCACATAGCTCCAACGATCCATCACACACACACACACACACACACACACACACACACACACACACACACACACACACACACACACACACACACACACACACACACACACACACACACACACACACACACACACACACACTTTGTATTGTGTTATTGTATGAGAGAGGTTCCAGGTTGAATTGAGGCGAATATTTGTAATGTTCAGAGGTTGTTGTGTTTAATATTCATGAGAATATTTGTCATTGTTCAAATGATAATAAACATTAGCATAAAGCATAATTGTGCACTCATATGTTGATAAGAGTATTACAAACTTGAAAAATATTCCTCTAAGGTACATTTAGAACAGATCAAAAATGTGCGATTAATCGCGATTAACTATGGACAATCATGCGATTAATCGTGATTAAATATTTTAATCGACTGACAGCCCTAGTTTTTACCGTAAATGAGTTCGGTTCAGAGAATAAAACACATAAAACATTAATTAAACTCGATACTTGTTCACTTGAATTTCACTTTGAAGTCTTGGATATTCTCAATGGGTGAATACATCTTTTTATAATAATAATAAAATAATAAAAAAATAAAAAATGTAAATTACACCAAAGCTTTCTCAGGGTGGGCCAATGAGTAAACTGAGTGGGCCTGGGCCCACCCTGGCCCTATGGTGGCTACGCCACTGCCATAATCCTCTATATGCCCTTTGTCTATATTTCGAGTGAAGCGTAATATTTAAAAATTGTTGCAGTAAAGCGTAAATTTCACCTCTGCACTTCTTGCCTGAGGGAATAAACAGGCACAGGCATGTCACAATGTGCTTTACATGGATTTAGAACAGGCCGTTCCCCAAACCCACCCAATCAAATATACAGCATTTCAACAATAGCAGCAGTATCACGGACTGACACTGAAGTTGTGGTACCACCGTTTGGCCACTACGGAAATTTGCATCAACATCACATATCACTCTCTCGGGCGTGATACATACACATTATTTTAATCCCCCCACATCGATTGTTTTGGAAAGACATATTACTTTTCTCAAATAGCAGACGCACCATGCTTTTAAAACAGAACTTTAGTTTCCATTATTGACAGTTACCATTGTATAAGCAGAACACAAAATGCTTTGCATGTGTTTTTCAGAAACAAAGGGTACTGGGTGATGGAGTGCAAAATAGCATAAAGCTACCTCGTACAGTAAATCTTTCCCCAAGGTGCCGAAGCTTCAGGGCATTTCATTAACCACAAGAATTGGACCGACTGAAATTGAGGCCACAGTTCGACCTACTCAAGATTGTTTCTGACTCTACGGAAGCTTCAGAGTCAAAGTCCATTTGGACTCGCATGAATAATGTTTAAGGAATGACTTCACGTGTTTATTCCAAAGAATTAACAAACATACTGATGAGATGTATAAAGCTATGGCCTACATTGTACTTTACTGGCAGTTAAACTGTATCTTCGTTGTGAACTTCACAGAGCTTTAACCCATATTGTTTCAGGGCTATTTGCGCCAGTGCAGGAAGCGTGTGGACATGTTCAATGACGACCAGCTGAAGGTCATCTTCGGGAACATCGAGGACATCTACCGCTTCCAAATGGGCTTTGTTAGAGACCTGGAAAAACAGTACAACACAGACGACCCCCACCTCTCTGAAATCGGGCCATGCTTTTTAGAACACGTGAGTTCAATTAGTGTTTGAGGGAAAAGTACGATGTGTAACTTTTCCATATTGAAATGTCTAAAAACGACTGTTACACTTTTTTGAGGTTGTTTATTTGACATTATTCCAAATGTTTCTATAGAATCAATATCCATAATTGTAATCAATTAATTTGCTCCCTTTTAATAGCATTTTATCTCTTTTGCCACTGCGTTGCAGAAGCATCAGAAATCGACGTTTAATCAACATTTTAACTTTTTTGATCATGGTTGTTTTTAACTATGTTTTAACTATAAAAACTCATTTTTGAGAGGAGACGTATAGTTAGAATCCAAGTAGAAGGCAATGGTGATTCAGACAACAACTCCCATGACTGCTATACTATAGTAGTCATGGGAGTTGTTGTCTGAATCTTTACCACACCACCTAACTCCTTTTATTGTTATTGTTATGAGACAGGTTATTGAGACACCTGGCAGTGTACAAATGTTTATTTATTATATTAGGCGTATAAATCTTTACTTCTTTGATGAAAATACACACACTGTCCAGCTTAGAGAAGCTTAAATTGATAATAATTGAGTTTGGCCTGTTATCTCACCATCAGAACTTAATTATTCCATTATCTTGAGATAGCAGCTGTGCTGATAATTAAGTCAACAGCAAACTGTTTATTTCAAGATAATGAGATAATTAGGTCATGATCATGAAAACTGCTATAATAAAAAACATCCAAGCAACCAGAGCTTCTTATCTGTCCATGTTGACACTAGCATGTTTTACTGAGAAGAGAATTCAGTACATATCTTTCATCATGTGTCTCTCGCCCCTTTATTCTCTACAGCAAGATGGTTTCTGGATCTATTCTGAATACTGTAACAACCACTTGGACGCCTGTATGGAGCTGAGCAAACTGATGAGGGATGGGAGGTACCAGCACTTCTTCGAAGCCTGTCGCCTCCTCCAGCAGATGATCGACATTGCCATCGACGGCTTTTTGCTCACCCCTGTCCAGAAAATCTGCAAATATCCACTCCAGCTGGCTGAGCTTCTCAAATACACTGCGCTGGAGCACAGGTACAGAACTCTCTGGCCATGCTCACATTTCATCAGCAGAAGGTGTTGCTTTTTGGATAGTTATTCATTCGTTTTGAAAAGAAAAGAGGCCATGCCTTCATGCTTTAATGTTCAAAAAGCTCTTTATTTTTCTCACACTGCCTGTGCTGCAGCACCTCTTTGCACCCTCTGTCCAAAACCAGAGCCCAGATGTCCCGCTCCTTAGCCTATAACGTAAAATGTGTCGGAGAGCGAGTTTTACTTAGTGATGTCACTACAAAGGAGTCCAAGAAGTGTGTGGGAGAGAAACCCCCTCTAGTGTGGACTTTGAGATGTTAGCCTTTGCAGACCATTCACATGCACAAAAACCTTTTGAACTCACTACCGGAAAGGGAGACCCCCAACATGCATAATAGGGCCTCTTTAAGGATTAGTTCACTGACGAAACAAACACCAGTGGCAATGTAGCTGTTGCAGGTTTTGGGTTTATTTGACCAGCTTTCTATAATTGCTTTTGAGTGAAATATAATCAGGTAAACTCAGTTTCATCGTAAACCTTTACTACAATACTGAGCATCAACTCATTCTTATTTCAGTCCATGGCTATTGTGTAGGACTCCGGATATAAATAGACTGCAAATTAAATATGAATTTGGGCTTTAGCTGGCACATGCATCAACACTCCTCCACTCACTGCGCAGCACACAAGCACAAGACGCGGGCATCCAGATGTGCAAACTCATGCGTGCGGAGCAACCAAAACATGGCGTGAGTGATTCAGCGTCTCAGCCAGCTCCGGGGCATTCACGACTCCGTTCTCAGCCAGAGAGGGACAGGTGCCAGCGCCGCCTGCCAGATCACAGCGTTCCACTGTTAGGAGCTGGAGACAATCTGCCAGATATAGGCCTGCTCTCTGTCACGCACACACACAACACCGTCACACACACATTATCTTCCAAAGTGAGGATTGGATCCGTTTCACATCTAAGCCAGAGGGATAGATCCGGCTCAGTTAGCATAGTCGCAGTTAACAGTGGATGGAGAAAGTGGCTGATTAGAACGAGACAGCAGTGTGGTGTTGGACCGTGCTCCAGCTGACGTATTGCTCTTACTTGACTTTATAAGTCCTTTAATAGGCTACCTTATATCACTCACTGCTGCAACATTACATGGGTTTCTTTAAAGGATGGCCAAACTCCAAGAGCTATAACTTTCCCCCTCTAGCACCCAGGAGTAATTATGTGTACACTGTGTCCGCAGTGATTATCGATACGTGGCAGCGGCGCTGGCAGTGATGCGGAACGTCACTCAGCAGATCAACGAGAGGAAGAGGAGACTGGAGAACATCGACAAGATCGCCCAGTGGCAAGCCTCCGTTCTGGACTGGGAGGTTTGTTTGTGTGTTCTCTGTGGAGTCCTTCCAAAGCATCCAATGCCCACTCATGTTGTTCATTGGCAAGAACTGCTCTGGCCTGTTTGGTCCTTCTGTTTGGTTACAGATATTGCCCCGGCATTGAAAGAAAAGTTGACATAGAAGCCCAATATCTCTCACTAAATGTGGTCACAATCTCAAGGTTACTGAGGGGGAACGGGTTTAATTACTAATCTAATTTATATGCCTTTAAGATTCATAAAGTCAATCCTTTTTACTCTCCTTTAAAACTCCTTTAAATATTTGTGATGTCCTCTCGACTTTCACTATCAGACTTTTTTTTTAAATGTAATATATTTTTGTTAATTTTGTTAGACTTCCACTAAAACGTTTTCAAGCCTAAGCTGATTTATTTGTCTTTGCTTCTTCCTTTCTTTCCTTCTTTCTTTCTTTCCTTCTTTCCTTCTTTCTTTACTCCTTCCCTCCTTCCTTTCTATTTTATGAATCTTCCTTTCTTTCCTTCTTCCTTTCTATCTTATGAATCTTCCTTTCTTTCCTTCTTCCTTTCTATCTTATGAATCGTTCTTTCTTTCTTTCTTTCCCTAATATTATAATTGTTGTCCTGTGTGTTTTCACCTGTTGTTCTTATCTGTGACTTTGTTTCCGTGTGTGTCTGTTGTTGTTGTTTTACTGCCACTGCAGCAGTCCAAATTGCCCCTCAGAGACAAATAGGTCTAACTTAAACTTGATGATATAACTATGACTTCTCAGGCTAGAAAATGCCACAGAAGGCACTCACTAAACTGTGTTCATAAGCTGAGAAGTAGATACTTAACTTGTTTATTTAGCAGTTTTTTTACAACATGATAATTACTTTAATCTCAGAAACTTCAAAATAAGATTCTTGCTAAATGTATGATTTAATAATCCCTGAAAATGAGAGTTTTGTTTATGTAAATGTGTGAGTTTCTTTTCTCGCAAACGTCGCACTCTTATTGTAATCCATTACCAAGTTGTTCTTTGTAATTTGATTTAATCTAAAACATACATTTGCCCTTCAAATGTAGCCCAAGTGTATTTATTTGTACCTTAAAGGACACCAGTACTCCATCATATTAACCTGTCTTTACTCTTATGTTCAAAATTGGTTTGACAATTCATTATAAGAATAGTATCTCCTTCATTTACACATTGTGTGTGTGTCTAGGGCGACGATATCTTGGACAGGAGCTCGGAGCTCATCTACACCGGGGAGCTGTCATGGATCTATCAGCCGTACGGGCGCAGCCAGCAGCGAGTCTTCTTCCTCTTTGATCACCAGCTGGTCCTCTGTAAGAAGGTACGCTGGCTTTGTTCTTTTGCTTCCTTTTTATAAAGACCTTGATGGATTAAAAACAAGCTGACGAGCTCAAACGCAGCCTCATCTTATCTTCTTACAAGTCGATATATCACTTTGCTGTTGACGCAGACGCTTAAAGACTTTTCTGAACTTACTCTGGAGCTGCGACTCCAATGCGCTATGAGACGCACCAGCCCTTAGTGAAATGCGTTCAAAATCCTCCGCACCTTTTACAAAATGGAGCTGTGTTAGTTTGGGCTCTAATGCACCGAGGCTGTGCTCTCCTGTCAGACTGATGTTCACGCTCGGCTACACCCAACAAAAGTGCACACGGAGACACAAACGCAGACCAACACCGCTGCACAAACACACAAAGAGAGGCTTGAAAAGTGCGTCACAGAGGAGCAATCATTTCAAAGACACACAAACGTCTTTTTTCCCCCGTACTCTATCACTGTCGAACATCGAGGGAGTTTGGAAAACGTTGCATGTAGCCTTCCATATTTTCCGCCCATCTCTTCCTTATCAGCATGCGGATGCAGATTTGTCTCTGCATGCTTATTAAAAGACACCCGTGTTTGTTTTTTCCTTACCTTCCTCGACCCCTATAGTGTGACTGGATGGTATTTGGTCCTCAGGCAATATTTAACGTGATGTTTTTCATGTGGCCGTCTTGTTCCTGGAGAGCTACGTACTGTAGATTCAGGTTATTTATGAGATGATGCGCTGCGGTAAAGCTTGATTATTCAACAGTAATGTGAGGATCTGCACTTCTTTGTCTTGTTTATTAATAATGTGAATATCAGTCAAAAGATATCAATTTTGGTTTGATAACATTCTGAGATGTTAACTTGAAATTGTGATTGAATTTTGCATTTTTCACTATTTCTTTTTGGACCAAAAAGAATAAAATATCCAAAAATGATTTTAATAGTAACCAAGGATGAAAGGAATAGTTGGGTACTTTGGAATATAAGTAAAAATAAATATCTAGTTTATTTTATCGGATAAACTTGAAGATAAAAGAGATAATGTTAGTCATTGACAGGGGCATTTCTGAACGTTTAATGTATCTTACACACTTGGGCGCTTATTACTAGTTTATGGTATATGTTATTTGAAATGTATTTATTTTATTGTTATGCACAATTTGTGTGTGTGTGTGTGTGTGTGTGTGTGTGTGTGTGTGTGTGTGTGTGTGTGTGTGTGTGTGTGTGTGTGTGTGTGTGTGTGTGTGTGTGTGTGTGTGTGTGTGTGTGTGTGTGTGTGTGTGTGTGTGTGTGTGTGTGTGTGTGTGTGTGTGTGTGTGTGTGCAGCAGATGGAAAGGGTTGCATAAGGCTCAGGACACCGAGGGCAGGATGCTTGTTGACACCTCTGAGGTTCAGCGCACACACACTAACAGACACCTCTCTTTCTCTCTCTCTCTCTCTCTCTCTCTCTTCCCCAGGATCTGATTCGCCGGGACATCCTGTACTATAAGGGCCGCATCGATATGGATCGCTACGACGTGCGGGACGCCACAGACGGGCGCGACGACGACTTCAACGTCAGCGTGAAGAACGCCTTCAAATTGTGCAACAAAGACAGCGAGGAGATCCACATCTTCCTGGCCAAGAAGCCAGAGGAGAAGAACCGCTGGCTCAGGGCCTTCCACGAGGAGAGGAAGATGGTGCAGGAGGACGAGAAAATCGGTTAGTCACACACCGCCCTGCTCCGCCCTGTTTGGAAAGGTTTCATTCACAGGGGGAATGGAGTTTCAGGCACATGTTGACTTAGCTACAGCATGCTATATGCACATCATAGCATGACAACATGTGTTATTCATTATTAAGGTGTTTTTTTTAACTTTATTGTGAAAAACTAAATAAAGTCTCATAGCAGATTTTTAAGTTACAGTTAAAGGCAGCTTCTTATGGATTGTTACATCCCTTTTATTCTCATAAATAAAATAGTATTAAAATATATTATATATAAATAATATTTCCTTGGTGTGTACAGCATAAACAAAGAAATAGGAAAACACATTTAAATATAGAATAATAGAAAAAATAAATAAATAATAATGATAATATAAAATGATATGCAATAAATCAATTTAAAGCTGTAAAGAAGAAACATTATAATACAATCTGAAAAAATACTAACATGATACTTTTAAATTACAATGAAAGCTGTATACAAATATACAAAAACATGACTTTACATTACAACAGAATATTACAATAAAAAATGTGAAAAAAATAAAAATATCTAAACAATACATCTAAATTAAAATGGAAGCCATATAGAAAGAAATGACAATAGAAATGTGAAAAAATAGAAATGTATTTAATAAATCACAATTAAAATGAATGCTAATGAATTGTAAATGTCTGAATGGTTTGCGGTTAAGGTTTCGAGATCTCTGAGTACCAGAAGCGGCAGGCGGCCATGACAGTGAGAAAGGTGACCAAACAGAAAGGTGAGGCAACAAGAAGATATCAGGTGATTTTCCTTTTCTTTTCCTCGCTGGTGTGCTCTGTCTTCTCATCGCTGTTTACTCTTTACTCCTTAACCTGCTCTGTTTTTTGTTTTTTTTAACTGTCTACACGTTTTCTAAAACACGCCTACTTTGTTTATGAATGGACTATCTGTGTACTGAGTAAGCTAGAAAAGTCACGTGGATTCATGTCTTCTCGCTATATCACTTTTTTTGTATCGCTTTGAGTCAAATGTCTGTCGCCCGTACACGAGGAAGAATCGATATGAGTTGTAAAGCAGACGTTAAGCATCAATGAAAAGACAGAGGGCTATTTGCATGAAGTATTGAGTTTAAAGGGCGATACCTGCATCCCTGACATGTGGGTCCTGTGTCACGCTTGTCTCGAAAACAAATTCCACACCTCAAACTGTTTGCATTTTTCCTTTTACTGAGTTATGGTGGCTGTCGGGGCTTATCACTAAAATCCAGATTTACATTTTTTTGTATTCCTCCTTATTTTTGGTTGATACTTACTTCTGAAGTGTGTTTTATAGTTTGTTTTTTATTACAACAGTAATTACTTTACATAGTGTAATCTAGGACAATAATACAACATCACGCCTTGAAGATTGAAGAAACATCAAAGCAATCGCATTATTTTGACTTACTTTCAGATTTAACAAGTTTTGTTTTACAGCCAAATAGGTCAAAAATAATGCCAAAGGTAGAGTTAGCAATTCTTACACAATACACTTTCAAAGTCAAAAATATTTACCCATGCAGAGTTTCACGCATCCTTTAAAGTCTTAATTTACTTTACTGAAATTCTAAATGTTTCTTAAATATGATTTAATAGATCTTCAAATATATGCCCTACGTTTTGGTTAAATGCAAATAAAAGAGGGTTGGCAACATTTTCTTTTTGCTTGGAACAGAACCACATTTTAAATAAAAGGTTTTCAACCCGGTCAGCATTTTCTCATGCGTCCCTGCCTCTTTCACAGCCTAAGATCACCACTAATGCTACTCTCAAAGCTTCTTAAGACTTTGATTTTAGATTTAGCTAGATATACATTTAGATCAAATGTGGGGAAGTATATTACGTTTAATACACAGTTTAAGCTGGAACCAGTTTAAAGCCTGATGCTGCCTTTCTATCAACACATACACATTTCGGACAGTAGGAATCAAACCCCTAAAATCACATTTCATTAAACCGCGATTAAAGTCGACTGGAGACGCCAGCGATCTCTCAATATTGTTCAGTAGAAGTCTACACTTTAGCATAGCTGTTTACTCAAACAGTATGGCGGCTAACCCTAATTGCCTTTTATATTAGTCTACTATTATATTGTTTAAACATATCAATAAATATAGCAATATTCCAGGGCTTATTTTCATTCAAACTATGTTTCCGTTATACTTCTGCTATATTGCAAAAATAAAATGAGTAATACATTTGCTGTAGAAGTTTGGTCTTAAAGCGGTCCATTTTGTGGCAGTGCTGAAGAAACACCCGGTAGACACAAACACCCCTGATGCTGTAAATGGTAAACAACGTGGATTGATTGGTACAAGAAACACAACATTTTATTTTAGCCAATCATCAACAAGGGGGCATTCATGTTTTTGAAAAGATATACAGATTAATGTGGATGTAGGCAGGTTTTTTTTGTGGGTGTTCAAATATCAACACTCTTCCTTCAGAATGTCTGACTCCACCTTGATCTCCAGCAGCCACCAGCTATCTCTGTAACAGATGAACATGTCAAGCGGGTTCCTCCAGATGCTAGCCACTCACAGAGCCTCAGACAGAGGACCCTCATGTCCCCCCCCCTGCTGGTATCCCCCTTTAAGATTTAGCCATTTGAGCGCTAGGCTAGATGTGTGTACATTTTACTATTGCCAGTTTCACAATGAGCATGACCATCCATTAAAGTATGAATTAACCCCTTGCTGGAATGTTCTCTCTGACGTTAGGACCCCTGTAGACGTGTTGTGTGTTTTCTAAGTGCTGTATGTGTACATGGCTGGCACAAGGTGAAGTACTCTCTTGAATTTCAGATTCATTTATAGATTTCATCTTGAGAAAGAGGGCCATGTTGTATGGACATGGTTTGAGAATGATAAAGGTATATGCATTAGAGTTCTCCTTTAGAGCTAGCACAATAAGATGCCATGGCAACTGCTAAAGCAGCATTGGGAGGTGTTGTGATTAACACTGGAGCACAGTTTAATCTAATACAATATAACAAAAAACCCTTCTAACTGCTCCGTATTTTAAGCAAATTACCCCCCAATACAGACACTGTTCTAATTGTATTCCCTCCTAAGATGCCATGGCAACTTTTGAATATTTCATCTCCGAATATTGATCTAATTTTTACTGCACTAGCACTAGTTGTGATGCTTGTAGACTAGCGAAATGACGTCGTAGACTGTAGTTAAGCGCATATTAACAGCTTTTCTGTTGGCTCTATTTTCGCTACTCTTGTGTTTCTCAAGTGTCGAGGGGGTGCTATTCAAACAAACGCGCTGTCAACAAACACGGAGGAACAGCGTCTCTTGTCCAAATGCCTTGTTTCATCAAAACGTGAATCTGTCTGTTCTCCTGTTTGCCCGCCACACAGTTTGATTGAATAGCATCTTCAGTCTCCCTTGTGTCATCGCTAGAGCTGAATTCCCCGATTCAGCCGTCATCATACTGTATGATCATTCTGTATCATATCTCAGGTTTAATATGCAGGAATGTTAATGTGTGTCCGTGTGCCTGTACTCCGTTAGCATGACTCGGTGTTGTGTTGTTGTGTCCGTTTCCTGATCCGTTTACTGACGATGTTTCCTCTTTTTGCCATCCACCTTTTTTCTTCTTCTCTCGCTTTGTGCCCCCCGCGCTGCCTCCTTGTCCCCTCCCCCGCCCACCCCACTCCCGTCTTGCTTCTTTTTGCACCTGCCTTCTCAGGTGTAAACAGGTGCACGCCCCCCTCATACCCGCCCCCGCAGGACCCCCTCAGCGCGGGGCAGTATGAGGTATCGGAGGACATGGCACAAGGAGAGGTTTTTGAATTCAGTCAATCCAAAAGAGGCCAGGCTCCTTTCTGGCAGAATTTTAGTAGATTAGCTCCATTTAGGAAATAGAGATACGCGGACTCTTCTGAAGGACCAGATATTTTTCTTAGACGCACTACACACTGGATGATCCTGACCCATCATGAAGAAAAATACGACAAAAAACACACACAAGAGACTTTTGAAAAAGGAAGGACTATTGTGAATATGATCAGCAAGAGGACTGAAGACTTTGGATTTAAACATTTAAAAACGTTACAATTCATATATGTTAGCAACGTTATAAGTTATCACGCTTCTCCGGCTGAACTCTTTCCCCCTCGGATTCTGCATCCTCACGCCATCTGAATGTCCTGGAGTTATTTACATTGTTATATTAATTCATTTTGAATCCATCGTCTGGAGAGAGAAGGCCGAGCCGGGGCATTTCCTCGTAGTAAGATCGTGATAGAACAAGCTGACATGTTGCTGCTATGTGAGATTGCTTGTTTGCATTCTTCTGAATGTGAGGTTGAATAATTGACAGCTGACGAAGGACCCGCGGAAGCTCGGCATCATCTCTGATCCATTCTGCCACTGATCTCAGAGCAGCCATGTCAACACTGTGTCTGCCCCCCCTCCTTTACTCCCCTCTCTAGCTGTCCGCATTATAGTAGCCCTCTCTTCACCCAGTATGACGTTCTCAGTGTTTCCCTCGCTCTCTCCTCTCTATCTCCCGCCCCCCCGCTCCATCCTCAGTGAGTCACGGGCTCTCAGAGGAAACAGCTTCATTCTCTTGGCAGGCTGCCATCGGCCACGATACGACGGGTCAGGGAACAAATCGATAGATGGGAACATCAATAGAATATTTTCATCCTTTCACCAAACACTTCTGACAGGGTATTCATAACCCATCACACCCAGGGGGGGGGTTGACGAGAGATGAAACAGCTGGGCGCGGGAGATAGGCAGACTATACGCTCCACCTGCCTTGTGTTTAAACCCCCCCCCCCGACACTCTCCCCCCAGAGACCACCCCTTGTAGCACTGTGCTGGCAGCTCACTGGGCGTTTGGAAAGGGTACAGCCTACCTCCTGAAACAGCTTAAAGTGAAAGCATTGGGCGATGTTTAGAGAAGAGACTCCTTCCGTTAATTCTTTTCTATCTCTCACATTGTAAAAAGCACATATCCAGTCAGAGGAACACTTTATTTCCTCTCGTGTGAGGACGCTAAATGGGCCCCAGTGTGACGAATTAGAACGATCCCTTAACCAGCACAAGGGGAAATGGTCACGTAATCAATTCTAAATGAACAACTGAAAGAAAGGACGCTGCAGAAAAGTGAATTCAAAGTGTAGCATGCAGACGTCCTCTGGCAAATCTCTCTCTAAAGACCGCAGCTTTAAAATCTCAGCTCCCACACCGTCGTCTTTCCCGATCTGATCAATGTTCTGGCATTCAGCTTAAGTGATCAGATTATTGGTTTGATCAAACAATGCTGTGGATCCCGCCACATGAGGTTTTAGAATAGATCTACTGAGGAAACAACTATTTACACACATCATGAAGGTATATTCTTTTCTACAGTGGGGAATGTAAGTGACACACGGTTGGTGATCATGCTTTAAACCTCAGATACTTTGTGTTGAATTATTACCACCTGATGGACAGTACATATATGACAACTTGTGCAATGTGATATATCATTATATATCTTCACTACTCACTACCACGTGATATCAAAGAGTTTATATATCGTTCTATGTCATTTGTTTGCCTTCTTATAGGCCTTATAACCTACTGGAGAAGAAAAAAAAAGACCTTTTTAGAATTGCTTTGTATGTTGTGTAATTTATGTTTTGTTTCAGTAAAAGGAAAGCGTTGAGAAACGGGTGAGTCGGCTGCTGGTGTTTGTAGAGAGATGGCTCCCGGTGAGATTGTTTTGGAAGATTATTCCCTGGTCTGGCACTGCAAAAAAAAAAGAAGATATGGTTCCCAGGCCATGATAACCTCAGGTCTTGTGCTACGCCCCCCCTCCCCCCCTACTTCACACCACCAACACACACATAATCATGCACACTTGCTGGCCCGTTCTGCTGCGGAGAAGAGAGATGCTATCTAACAGTGCCTTCCAGCATTCCACTAGTGATTATCTATTCAGTTTCACAGGCAGATTTGAATTAGTCATGTATTTTCCCTTCGGTGTGGGACTCGCATCTCTCTCTCGTACTTTCTCTCTCACACACACCGGGAATTCCTCTTTCCCCAGTGGCAGGAGATCCAGAAACTTAAGAGATCAGGCCTTTTTTTCTTTATTTCCCCCATATGAGTAGATACTGTAACGTCTGACTGACTGAAACACACCTTATTATATTATATCACACGAACATAGCGGTAATTTTATTGCACAGAAATAATTTAGAAACGTTATCATCTATTTAACATGTTGAACGGTGGTTTCATTTCAAATATATTATAGTCTATTAGTTTTCAAAGTACATTATTAAAAATCAAAAGAAGAATCATCTATTTTACCTTTATCAGCTTACACACTGTAAATAATGTAAAAAAACAGATCATATATTTGGATATTGGTATTTTGCGTTGGAGACGAATGTTGTTCCAGTTCTAGCGTGCGGTAGACCTCAGTACCAGGTAAATGCATGCTCGTGGCATCCAATATTTTGCATGAGACTTTAGACAACTCTTAGCAGATTGTTTAGTTTCATTTTACTTCCTATGGGGGATTTTGTTTTGTTTACCACACACCGCGGAACCATTCATTTGTGAAGCCCATACCATCTCACTGAAGGGAGTTATTTTCTCTGTCCACCTGTCTCCAGCTCACATCACCGCTTTGTAGCTTCTGGTTTTTATTTATTAAGTAGAGTGGGACATCTTTCCTGAACTGCTGATAGGTGAAATTAAAGGCACTAATGCTCTCTTCGCCCAGATATATTGGGTACTATAAACTGTCATTCTAAAGTTATATATTTGACTCCAACATGCACTGTCGTAGTCCAAACTGCTGTTTTTGATTTGTTTTTATTTTGATTTGAATACCATTAACCGCTGAGGTAAAACGGGTATCATTTTTCTATGACAACGGTGAACAAAATAGGAGTTAGCACTGATCATGGGTGTTTGTGTATAGATTTGTAGTCAAGCAGAAGAGCTGAATAAATTAAAACCTCTCGAGATGAGCTAAAAATAAACATAATCCTGTAGACACAAACACACACACATACAGTACTTCATTATAATTCATATCATGCTCTTGTTTCTACTTAAGAAATTATTCTTTTGACTTGACAGTAACAAATTAAATTCTGCACTTGTATTTATTGAATGCAGTATTAAATAGAACCGTTTTGGCCATGCCGTTAAAAGGGTGTATATATTGGTTTTATTTCTTATATAATTATCATCTGACCTTGTGCTGAGAGCTGAGAGGACAGCCTATCTATTTCCGGTCATAAAACCGAGACAGACAATTTAGCAGACTGTCAATTTGATGCATCAGAGGTTTGCTCAGATTTATGTCATTCCTTTCAGCCCATGAGGCGCGTTCACTCACATTTAGCATTTCAGTAGGAACTCCTCGCGGTTGGTTATGCAGTCCTGTGTTGTTTCACAATAGTCAGGTAACAACAGTCTTCAATGAGCCATATTATTGATGTGGTGTTCAATGACAACAAGGTTAAACCGAAGACTGACATCCCACTTTTGGAAATCTCCTCATTGTAAATGACCTTCTAGTTTGAGGTCTGGATTTTTGCCTATCACAGAAAAATGTACTCACTACCTACATCCTTTGTCACCATATGCAAACATTTGTCATTTTCTTTCTCGCTGGCCTTTTGAGTTTTGATTATTTGTTGTAGAAATTAAAAATAATGCCTATTCAATCCAGAAACTGTGAATGGGAGAGTGGAGATGTCAACTGTATGTACATTATATGTTTTGATGTAATCAGAAGCACTGGGAATATGTTGTACTTCGCTGTAAAAAATAAATCCATATCTGATATAGCTGTACTTTTGTTGAAAATAAAACCTCTACAGAACTCCATGTCTAGGCGTCAATGTGCGAGTGGGAGCATTGTGCTGGGTTTCCTGTTAGTGACATCATTTCCTGTCCCCATTACCAACAGTTGACACATAAACTCCTGGATTTATTTATTACAAAAAAGGGATACCAACGGAAGATAAAAACTTTTTCAGAAGAATATTACAAAGTTACAAAAGAGAAAAAAATCACAAATTGAAGCCTGAAAATGCTGTCATCAATGAATAATGAGACTTATGCAAACATATTCTCCCGGTTGGCTGCGCTGATCGTTCCGTGTCCATGTTTTGAAGTCAGCAGATGCAAGAGTGTTTTTCAGGCAAGATCTAAGACGTCCTGCTGCGATGCAGACACCGTCTCTGTGTGTTTGTGTGTCTTGATGTCTAAATAACTCAAGCGAGACTGTACAGTATGGGAACAAGAACAAATCATATGAGGAGCCTCAATGAGCTATGAGCAGTATTACTGTGGTCTCTAGTGGTCAACCGTGGTGTTACACTTCCCAAGGACATGGCCCTTTGGCATGGTCATTTCTTTCACTTCAATGAGATTTGTAGAGCACAACTATATATTAAAACTTAGCTTACGTAGCTTCAAAATATATAATAAAAACAAAGATTTACAGAACTGGGATGATATATCTTCTGTGAGTATGATGTCCTACAAATAAGATAATAAATCAGTCATCCAGTCATGAGTTGAAAACAGCTAAAAAAAACTGGCCATGTATCGTGATGCTAAGTTGAGCATCATAGGAGTTCAGATGTGATGTGCTTCAGGTAGTTCCTCAGGATCAGAGGAACGTCCAAATTGTCAATGGCACATTCCTTGTTGCCAAAGGGAAGGTATCCTCTTATCGCTAGCCGAGTCTGCGACATCAGTGTTTTGGGACAAACTGGAACAGAAACAGAAAAAAGGTGGATCAACATCTTGACACTTGTACAATGCACAGAACCAAACTGGAACTACTTTCTCACCTCTCTCTTTGAGCAGCAGATTCAGAGCCTCATTCTGCTTGGTAGTCTTGTCAATGATGAGCGTGGGCAGATACACGTCGGCCCCAAAGTCTATGAGCAGCTGGATGTACTCCCCCCCGCAGCCGTAGCGCAGACACACCTCCAGCACCGTTTTTGGCTGCTTTATCCTGGCCAGCATCTTCTCGTCCATGCAGTTGTAGTTGGGGTTGGCCCCGTGGAGAAGGAGCAGTTTGAAGCAGTCCAGGTGTCCGTAAACAGCGCAGATATAAAGGGGCCCCCTGCAGGTGGTGGCGTTGGAGGCCCATTCAGGGGCTTTGGGCTTGACGTCCACCTCGGCTCCGAAGCGCAGCAGCTCCCGGAGCACGTCCAGGTCGCCCTCCCGGGCCGCGGTCAGGGCCGGGGTGCAGTTGTTGTACTGGCTGCCGTTGGGATCGGCCCCGGCCTTCAGCAGGGCCACCACACAGTCCAGATGTTTCCCATTGACAGCTGTGAACAGAGGCGTCTGCGCCTTCACGTCCAGGCTGTCGATCTGGATTCAGACACAGCAGTACATCAATATATTGTAACAGTACAAACACATGCCTGACAAATTGAGACACTATGCATCATTAAGGTTGCATCTCTGTTTTTTTGTGTGGATGTGAACATAACATTGACTAATTATCACTTCTCAAGATCGTCAAGGTATATTATTTACACTACCTGAATACACTGAGATTAATTAGCATTTATTTGTTCACCTAATGACTAGAATCCATTATTGAATCTCCTTTTTAACTTCCTCCCGGGAAGATGTTTTTGAACATTTTAGAGTAAAATGCTTCAATCTGGTGCACTTTGACCACACAATTACTAGAGACCTGATCTAGGGGGTACAACTCTAAAACACCCATATGAAAAAGATTGGTTTACATTTTAATAATCAAATAAGTATGTGAACATAACCAATAACCTACCATAGCCAATAACAAATAAATGTAACTTATTTTATTTTTGTTGTTCATTTATTTATCCTTTATTTATCCAGGAATGTCCCATTGAGATACAAGATCTCTTCTTCCAGGGAGTCCTGACCAACACGGCACACAACAAGTTTCAACATAAAACAAGGGCATTAAACAAAAAACATACAATTCAAATATAAATACAGAAGGCCATTTGTGCAGTGGCAAGAAGCATAATCACATCAGCAATAGCATCAGGTAAAACAGTTACATGTTTCATGAAGGGCTAATCGTAGCATACCTTTAAAAGCATTTACAGTAGGAAGTGCCTCTCGACAAAGTTTTACTTGCAGCGTATTCCATAAAAAGGGAGCATAGTGGGAGAATGCAGTTTTACCAAGCTCTGACTGCATCAAAGGAACATTTAAAAGCATCCCATTTGCTGCTCGTCTGGTATTAAAAAAGCAAGTATAAAAGGACAGAAGTCTGGAGATATATAAGGGCAGCTTACCTAGCAATGACTTAAGGATAAAAATCAACATGTGTGATTGTCTTCTTTGGTACAGAGAGGACCATCCTAGGGATTGATACAAAGTGCAGTGGTGGGTGCGAGAGCCTGCACCCGTTACAAAACGTATAGCAGTATGGTACGCAGAATCCAGCTTTTTAAGCAGGGAGGAAGGAGCATGCATATAGATCACATCGCCATAGTCTAATACAGACAGAAAGGAACTCTGCACAATTCTCTTCCTGGCTTCAGACGGGAAACATTTCTTTAAACGGAAGAAAAAGCCCAGTTTAGGTCTAAGTTTTCTCAGTAGGTTCCCAATATGAACATCAAAGGCCATCTTTTCATCAATCCATATGCCCAGATATTTGTAGGATGCTACTTTGTCAAGGCATGTCCCTTCCAGTGTCAGAATCGGAGGGACAGCTGTATTAGCTCGAGAGCGAGAGAAGGTCATGTACTTGGTCTTTTTTGCATTAAGGACCAGTCTTAGCCTTAGCAAGGAGTGTTGCAGTGTATTAAAAGCATCCTGTAGAAGCTCTATGGCCTGGGTTAAAGAGGAAGCCACTGTGTAAACAACTGTATCATCGGCGTATAAATGAAACCGTGCTGGGTTTATCCCATTTCCTAGTTCATTTATAAAGATGGAGAATAAGACAGGGGCCAAAATAGAACCTTGTGGAACACCTTTGTTTACAGTAAGAGCAGCTGAGGTATAATCTTCTACTGAGACACACTGAGTTCTTTCAGATAGATAGTTTTTAAACCAGCTCAAAGCCATTTTGCCAAGACCTATGCAGCCAAGCCTCTGCAGTAGCAATGCATGATCCACAGAATCAAAAGCTTTAGACAGATCAACAAACAATGCTGCACAGTGTTTTTTCTTGTCTAGTGCTTCAATTATGTCATTTGAGACTAGCATAGCCGCTGAAGTAGTACTATGGCCTGATCTGAAGCCTGACTGAGACTCGTTAAGAATATTATGGTCAGTTAGAAACTTTTTCAGTTGTTCGTTTACAAGAGATTCAAAGACTTTGGCCATTACAGACAGTCTGGAAATAGGGCGATAATTATTTAGGTCAGAGGGGTCTCCGCCCTTTAACAAGGGGAGAACCATGGCCGACTTCCAGGAGCTAGGCAATTCACCAGCACAAAGACTGAGATTCAAAATAGAGGTTATGGGTTCTGCAATCAGACCTGCAGCAACTTTGAAGAAGAACGGCTCTATCTTGTCTGGGCCTGAAGATTTCTTTACATCTAGGCTCATTAAAGCTTTGTGAACCTGAGAGGTCAAGATGGGGGCAAAGGTGAACAGTTGATCAGGGTCAAGTGGCGGAGGACCTGGCTCTCCTTCTGCAGCAATCATCCCTGAGTTGCTAGAATCAAAGATTGAGCCAGCAGAAATAAAATAATTATTAAAGCTGTCTGCAATATCCATTTTGCCCTTGATTTCACTCTGATTTACCCTTAAGAGATCAGGAAGGCTGTTTGGAGTGATAGCACCTGAGGAGGATTTAACAAGTTTCCAAAACTTTGCAGGGTTATTCAAATTGTCATGTATTGCATTAAGATAGTAGGCACATTTAGAGTCTTTAATCAGCTTAGTGCATTTGTTTCTTAATGTCCTATACAGATTCCAATCTAATGGAATATTCGATTTCTTTGCTTTAGCCCAGGCAGTGTCTCTCTGTCGAATGAGAGAGGATATATAATCATTAAACCAGGGGTTGTCTTTACCGCTTATCCTAGATGTCCTAAAAGGAGCATGCTTGTCACATATAGCCAAGAAGGTGGATTTAAAATAATGCCATGCCAACTCAACATCGGTCATAAGTGAAACAATGTGTAAATCACTATTAAAAACATCATGTAGAAACGCCTGCTCATCGAAATGTTTGAATCGCCTCTTGTGAATGAGACGTGGCTTTCCTTTAGGGATCTTACAGGTTCTCACACAAGCAATTGCGCAGTGGTCGCTTATATCATTACAAAACGTGCCTACTGCGGAGAAACGGTGAGGTGCGTTTGTAAGAATAACATCAATCAAAGTGGACTTCTCTAAATCTTTTTGGTTTAACCGAGTTGGCGAGTTAACTAGTTGCACCAAACAGAGAGAGTCACAAGTGTCCTTGAAAGAGTTTTGTAAATCCGTTTGCCAGTCCCAGTTTAGGTCTCCGAGTAAAACCATCTCGGATTTAGTCCAGTTATGGAGAAGATTGGAGAGTATATTCGTGGCTTCGCTTGAGGCAGCGGGCGGGCGGTAGCATCCGACCACTATAATGTCTGAACCACTTGGGAGCGATAGTTTAATTACAGAGAGTTCAAAGCATTTTGGTTTTGTTAGGGATTCGATGCAGGTGCAGTCTAAATGGTTTTTAACATAAATCGCAACCCCGCCCCCTTTTCCCACACGGTCTGTTCTAAAGACATTGTAATCTTTTATATTTATCATATCATTTGTAATCGACTTTTTGAGCCACGTCTCAGAAAGGACAATGATATCAGAGTCAGTCGAATCGGCCCATATTCTGATGGAGTCCATTTTATTAATCATGCTGCGAACATTAAG